GGAGGCAAGGCTCCCTGTCAACTGCAAATGGAGAGACACTTGTACTTTGTATTAACTTAGAAGGGAAACCTTTCATCACAAGATGCATGTGTGTGGGTTCTCCATGAGTCCTTGATCATCATCATCAGCAGCAGCAGCAAGTGGGCAGGGGCCTTCTTATAATTGCAGACCCTCTAGTCCCACCACAAGCCTGTGGAATCAGAAGCACTAAGAAATTAAACACTGACACTCTATGGGTCAAGTTTTGCCAGTAAATATTGAGAACCAGGCCTTAGGTTGATCATGATCCAAGCATGTCCCTGTCCCTGATGGTATCATTCCAAGATGGGTACCAGTTTCTAAAAACCTTAAGGTGGTGACAGGGCCAGAGCTCGGTGGTAGAGTACCTGCATAGCATGCAGGAGGCATCCATAGTATGCACAAGGCTCTAGGTTGCAGCCTCATCACCACAAACAAAATAATAAAAAATGCTCTTCATACTACTAGGCTTTATTTCAGACTGTGTGTGTGTGTGTGTGTATGTGTGTTTGTGTGTGTGTGTGTATGTATGTGTACATGTGTGAACATGAGCATCCTTGCACTTGGACTCGCATGTGAATACATGGTGAGGCCAGGGGTCGATCACAGGTATATGTCTTCAGAAGTCATCCATCTAGTTTGTTTATCTTCCTTCTTTCTTTCTTTCTTTCTTTCTTTCTTTCTTTCTTTCTTTCTTTCTTTCTTTCTTTCTTTCTTTCTTTCTTTCTTTCTTTCTTTCTTTCTTTCTTTCAGACAGGGCCTCTCACTGGGACTCTGGTCAGGGAACTCAGGGTTCTGCCTGCATCTACCTCCCTGGCACTGGGATTCCAAGTATGCACCATCATGCCCAGCCTTGTGTGTGATTGTTGGAGATTGAACTCAGGTCCTCATGTTTGTTTAGCAAACACTTCACGGAGTTTTCATCCAACCCTGTTTTTGAGTTTACGAGATGCAGAACTACAGATCCCTCCTTCCCCATCCCTCCCTCCCTCTATCCCTCTGTCCCTCCCTCTTAGTTAATGTAGCAGAAGCCTGACAGACCTCATACTAACTGCATTTCCACTTGGCCCAGGGGAATGGCACTTCCTCCTTTCTTTTCCTCCTGGAGTCCCCGCCCCTTTGTCTCTGTCTCCAATTATCCAGCTGCTTCCTTTAGTCCTGTTGCCCATTAAGTAAAGACAGCCATTCCCTTCAGCAGTCTGCTCCCTCAGCCTGGATTGTTCTCTGCCACATAAAAAGCCACAAGTGGCTTTTATGGCCTCATGCATACTTAATGAGTCCAGCGGCTCAACATTGTGCTTTAAATGAGTAAAGCCATTAGCCCCAGATCTAATTGATCCACACAGCACCATTCCAGCATGGCTGCAGTGGCTTTACGTGTTGGTCTAGACAAGCATCACTGGCTCCCTGGCTTCCTCCTGGTCTGAGGCAGAATCAGAGCCCCGGGCATGATCTGGATCTAGAAGAACTGACTATTTTGTGTCTTGCCCATAGCTGTCTGTATACCTTTACCTGGCATCATAAACCCACACCCTGTGAGATAGCTTAAGATGGGCATGTTTGCTGAATCGGAGCTGTTGTCAGGGTTCCAGGGTTCAGATATGCTGTCGTCTGTGTCTGCCCTCATGCCTCATGGCAGAAATAAAATAAGACTTACCTTCAGCCCCTCCTCCAGTGCGTGGCCATCTACCACCATGGTGAAGGATGGCACCTGCAGATCTACCTGTTGAGGCTCACATCTTAGGGCCCTGTGCTAAAGGCTTCTTTGCAGCCTGCAATGTCTGGAGGAAGCTGTTATTGCCTAGTGAAAGGATACTTGGGTCACTGGGGATGATCCCTCGGGGTCCCCATCTTCTTCCTTCTTTCTCTTTTTACTTCCTGGCCTTTGTGAAGTAGCAGCTTCTTTGTTCCAGCATGTGACCCACCATCATATTCTGCCTATCCATAGATCTGAGACAGCGAAGCCAAGTAAGTGACTGTGAACTGAACCCTTCAGAACAAGCCCAGAGTCGACCTTCCTGTATCTTTTTTCTTAGGTGTTTTGTCACAGCAGTGGGGTGTTAAGACAGCTTCTTCTGCTCTGCTCCTGGTGCCTGGCAGTCTCACCTGACTGGCCCTTGCTGTCTTCTCATCCAGCCTTTTCTGGTCCTAGTTCCAGACTCCACCTCCTGGGTCTCCAGGCCACTTACCCAGTTACTCCTACACACCTGTTTAAAGCCAGAGAATTTTGGTCTACCCTGCGTACTTTTGTTACAGCAGAAAGAAGTGAATAATGGAAGCCTTTCTTTTCCCTCGCCCAGAGTTTTCAGAAACATCATCTTTGGGAGCATTTTAGAGCCATCGTAACCAGGCCAGAGCCAGTTTATCTTCTGTTCTCAACAATCTGGTATTCCCAGACCGGAGCCATCTAATCTCATAGTGGGGGCTGAGTGAGTTGTGGGTTGGCCTTGGCCAGAAGGCACAATGGAATTGGAATTGGAACCTGATGATCCAGGGTGTGACAGGAGCTTCAAAGCTGCTCTGTGGGGCTGGCCCATGGAGTAGTGCTGACGGGAAGATCCCCGTGATGTGTCGGCGCCTTAGCAGCTTGCCCCTCACCTTCCTTCTCGTCAGCTGGGGATCAGACTCAAAACGACCCAGAATCCAGCTGGGCCACAAATGCCTCGGGTGCCCAGGCGCTCACTGAGAGCTTCAGCTCCTCCCATGGGGCTGAGATTCTCTGGGCTGGGCTCTGAGGCTTTAAATACATACATGTACTGAAAGGAGCAGAGACCTGGCCACACTTTTGATAGGAAGGGCACACAGGGGCACATCGTCTCCATGGTCGCAGGTGCTGGGGTACATGCCTGGATAGCAGCAGATGGCTGGAAGGCCATGGAGGCTTTGGTGTTCATAACCGTGTCCCTATGTATCATCTTAGAGGAAGGCTGGATCTCCCTGCCCTTTCTTTCAAAAGCTCATACCCACTTGGCCAGCAGGTTGCTGCAGTCTGCCTGAAATAAAGCTCTGCCCCTAAAATGCCCCACCCACCTACCTTTCTTGTCTGTCACTGTGTACTGATGAGGGCCCTCATATATTCCCTCCCCAGCCCCTCCATGAAAGCCTGGTTGTTTTGTCCACTGGCATTCGTTTCTTCATTCTTCCAGCATCCCTTTCCCATACTTGGTGTGATTCTTAAGCTTTTAAAGCCCTGTATGCTCCCAGGGGACCACAGAAACACTAGTGTTCATAATGGCTACAGTTACCCTTTCCTAGCACCCACACATGTATGGTTTAGAGCACCCTGGCCCCAGCTCTTACTGTCATTTCACAGGCGAGCGTGCTAATGCACACGTAACTTGGTTCCCTGGAGTTAGGATAGACCCATGTATTGCCTGGCCTGGCCCTTGCACTTGCTACCGTTGTGCACTATCCTGCCATGAATTTTTGAAGGCTTTCCTAGCCAGTAGATTCGCCATTATTTCAGTGTTCATATCCACCATACTAGGGCTGTTAGGATTCTGATTGCTCCGGATCAAAGCGGAAGGGGGGTAATTGAGCTGGCTAGGGTCACAGCAGATTAAGGAAATAGCAGGGGTTTGACTCTGTTTTCTCTCTCCGTGCCTTGCACCTCTGCTGCCAGACTGCACGGATTGCCTCTGTTCCTCACTGTGGTGTTCCTCGATTATGATCTGGGTCAGCCCTCTGCTTCTTCAGGAATACGTGTCCTCCTTGTTCATACCTTCGCTCAAATTGTTCTCCCCTGCCCAGGGAGGGCCTCCATCACCTGCCAGGTCTCTCATGACAGGGACACCTGTCTTCCCCACAAATGGGAGAGGGACTCCATCTTTTTCTCCAATAAGCCTATGACAATGTATCACCCCTGGCCCCCAGGGGTGGAGTGTGTTTTGTGAATGTAATCTCTTATCAATAAATGTGCTAGTTGTGTCTGTGTGTACCTTCCTGCCAGGTGGCCTTTGAAGGCCACCTGTCCTCATTTTTTCTGCCCTTTTCATCCAGGCCATTGCCAGGCAAATAGCACATGTTTAGTAAATATTGTTGAACAAATACAGGCAGACAGGAATACAAAAGAGGGAGGAAGTATAAAAATATCCCATAAAAATATCCCATAAAAATATCCTCGGCAGGGCTACAGTACTTAGGACACTCAGGAGAGATTTGTTGTTGTTAGTTTGTTTGTTTTAGCAGATGTCCTTCCAGGCAAACCCGTGTCATTTAGAAACTTCCAGAAGGAAGTGGAGCTGAATATGATCCCACTACCAGGTCCGTTTGTGTCAGGCTGTGATCCCAGCTGTCTGGGAAGCTGAAGGAGGAGGATCAAATAGTTCAAGACTTATCCAGCTTATAGAGTGCTTACAAAGCCTGCCCAGCCTACGGAGAATGCTTTCAAGGTCATCGTGGCCTACTGAGATACTGTCTCAAAATAAAAAGTGAAAAGAATCCTGGGAATGTAGCTCAGGGACAGTGTGTTTCCCCAGCATGTCTTGAGTTCAGTCCCTAGTACCCAAAAAAGAATGGATGTGGATGGGTGGATGCATGAATGAATGCATTCTACTGAGCTAACCTAGCTGGTCCGCTTTGCTACTTAGGTGGTCTTGGCTGATAACTTGGGAAAGAACCTCTGGTTTCTATGTTCTTGATCATAGCACAGGCTTTGTATATAGCATACATTTGGGAAAGTATAACCTATGGACATTGGGACTTATTCAGGATGACTTCATAGGTCCCCTCTATGAAGAACATGGAACCCTTGAAGATGGAGGCAGATATTGGGAAAAGTCATCTCTTATACTAAGGAAGCTAATCCTTCCGTTAAATTAGGGTTATCAAACGAATGGAATGCTTATCCCAATTCATTGGGTCTCTACTTGTCTTTAACATGGTGCCACATTGCCAGGCAGGTGGGAGGGTCCAGGAAGAGCAGGGAGGTGTCTTGGGTGTCTCCTAAGATGGACTTTGAAATTTCCTTTTGCCACCCTCAGGTGAGCGTGTTGACCACCCTGGAACGCAGGTTCAACCTTCAGAGTGCTGACGTAGGTGTGATCGCCAGCAGCTTCGAGATTGGGAACCTGGCGCTGATTCTCTTCGTGAGCTACTTCGGAGCACGTGGGCACCGACCGCGCCTTATCGGCTGTGGCGGCATCGTCATGGCCCTGGGCGCACTGCTGTCAGCCCTGCCAGAATTCCTCACTCACCAGTACAAGTACGAGGCTGGCGAGATCCGCTGGGGTGCAGAGGGCCGCGATGTCTGTGCCACCAATGGCTCCAGTAGTGATGAGGGGCCTGACCCCGACCTTATCTGCCGTAACCGGACAGCCACCAACATGATGTACTTGCTGCTCATTGGGGCTCAGGTGCTCCTGGGCATCGGTGCTACCCCCGTGCAGCCCCTGGGGGTCTCCTACATTGACGACCACGTGCGCAGGAAGGACTCCTCGCTCTACATAGGTAGGCACTACCGCTTCCGTATGTGTTGGTGTAGTGGTGCAAAGTTGGGACCCAGTTTTACTGGTTCACAGAACTGGCTAACCGTCTTCCGGGTTTTGAAAGACATGGATACCCAAGTTGGATCCCCAGAAATTCTCACAGGCTTGGTGCAGCGGTCACCCAACTACAGTACTTTTGACAATCTTTCCAAGTGATGCTTAGATGCTGCCTGCATCTTACCAGACCTTGCAAGGGAAGAGCTGGTTTGGAGGCGTTTGGAGTTAATTGACTTTGTTAATTTAAGTGTGTGTGTGTGTGTGTGTGTGTGTGTGTGTTGTGGTACAGAGGGATTTGGGGATATTTAGTGTTCACCAAGATATATTTTGGGGGGGTCTTCATTTAGGAAATCCCAACTTTGAACAATCAAAACCTTCACCTCTTAGGTCCCCCCATTTGTTAAACCTAATGAGAGGCTATTGATTACATTGCCAGCATTTGGTATTACCCAAAGCTGGTAACTTTGGGTAAAGTTTTCACTAACAGCCTGCTCAGGATCTGGGTATTTAGGAAGAAATGAAGTATGTGCAAACTTTAAAAACTATTTTCTGCTGCAGTGGTTTCTGATATTTTATATTGGAAAGATGGAATAGCCCCAAGGTCTAGGGTTTCAAGACACAGCTCAGTGGCAGTTTGCTCATGTGACAAATGGTGTCCTTGACCAAGTACTGGTGGACAGTTAGATGGTCACTTGCCGAGTATCTCCAGCCCTGACTTACTAAGTGTAATTTTGCCTCCAGTGAAGACACCCGGAGCCTCAGAGTGTGAAACTGTAAAAGTGATCTCTCCTGGGCAAGTGTGGTGTCACATGGCAGCAGTGTGCCTTGAGGTACAAAGCTAATTCTATAGGCTTAAGTGAAAATAGAATTTGAGCCAAATTTGACATACGCTTCCTACCTACCAGGCACTACTCTATATGGCAGGGATTTCTGAGACAATAGGGACCCAGTGGCTTGCCACAGGGTTGATGCCTTGCTTGAAAAGTGTATTATATATAGATGTGTGGCCTTTATGTGAGAGTTCTGGGTGGGGAAAGTGGGGAGTACACTTTCCTATCCGGGGGTGGGAGAAAGCAGACCTAGTTAGGACCTGATTATATGATAGAGCTTAAGACTGTTGAGACAGAGATGCATAGTCCTGGCCCCTTCTTCCACACGGTTAAGGCTTCTGTTGGGACTGGGCGGGGTCCCGCTGACGTGGCAACTGAGGTGCCCCTTTGTTTTTTGCTTCTGTTAAACCAGCATGTTACTAACATGACATCCAGAACTTCAGCTGGACGATTGGTCTTCTGTTTGGCTGATGTCACCCCAGGACCCCGGGAAAGCCATTTTCGGGTGGTAGTAACAGATCACACCACTTAGAAGGAAGTGGGCAATAAAACATTAAAAAAATCACTCCCTAGAAGTCACCCCAGAAATCTTTATCAGCTCTCAGTCACTTAGGTTTAGAGCTTCTAGAACATTCCTGAACCCCTTTTCCTCAGGCGATGTTCCCCGATGAGTTACTACTCTCCGATATTTCTCCCACTGGGTGGGGTGTGAGTTGTCTAATAAGAGGGCATTTGGGTTTGGGAGGTGAGACATAGACCCAAGAGTAGTAGGACCAATCAAGGCAAGGTACTGTTTTGAATTCTCTTGTCTGGTCCATGAGATTTGTAGTGAGTTTTTGGTAAGAAAACTATTTCAGTCAAATTTTGACTTGGGCTTCTCTTACCTTTTATGGAAGAGTTAGTTGAGTGTTGTTTTTGCACTATGCACAGATATTGTAGTGCTCTGGTCTGTCTGACCAAATTCTAAAACATAGTCATGCACAGCTGTGCAGATAGCTGTTCCGGGTCTCTCTGAAATAGTTTCATGGGTCTATTTAGAGAGAGTAGCCAAGAGCAGGCCCTTCTGCACAGATTGGCCTCCATGGGTGGCTTTTTATTGAATTCTATGGGAGCCGTTTCAGAAGGCCGTAGCATATGCAGAGAATAGCTGGTGAGTTCATTTCTGGCAGAAGCCATAAAGACATGGCCATGAGATGGTTGTGGCATTTATCTACTCTAATCAGGCCTAGTTCTGGAAGCCACTTTGCTTTGGAAAGTATTTGAGGGGTCCCACTGCCGAGAGGAGGGCTGCCAGCAGCGACTATAGGTCTAGATATGAGTTGTCAGGGAAGGAAGAATATTTGTTACCCCTGATTCCAGCTCTGGAAAAGCTGGTCTAGAGGGAGCCCTTTGACAGCACGCCTAGTTTAACACTGGATTGGAGATGGAAACAATGTACATAATATACATGAACAATATAGCCTTGTTTCCCAGTAATCCTTTCTGTGTGGGCCTGGAGGGTCAGCCTGCACTATCTAGACTGCAGGCCATCAGAGACCAGACCTGTTGCTAGTTGCCCGCATAGTAAGTCACCAGATGGGTTCTAGCCACACATCGACGGCCAGTTCACAGGCTCCCACACCCAGACAAAAGGGAAGCGGTTCAGTTGAAGTCCCTCCAGTGTTTTCTACCAAAATGGTTACTTCCGCTGACTCTTGTGACTGAGCTGTTGCCGAGCTCCTGGATTCCTGCATGGGTCATTCACAAGGCCAGCCCTGTTCTGAAGCCAATCTTTTCTAGAGTGAGGAGGGAGTTGAGGGTGCTCATTACTAGGGGACAAAACTGGATGAATGGGGACTCAGCTCTTCTGGCAGCCTTTTCAGTACATTTCAATACAGCAGCATGTGGGCTCAACCTCACAGGATGGCTGGATAACGACCTGTGGGTGGCGCGTGGCACTCTTTGTTCCCATGGGGACTGAATGGGTAGTGTGGCGGGAGAAACTGCTTGGGCCCTCCTGGATCTACCCCTTAGGAATCCAGTCATGTCTTAGCTCCATGTTGTGACCATCCATTAGCCTAGTTTTCTTAGCTGTCCTTTTGTCTCTCCAAGTCCAAAATATGTCAAGTGTTCTTTGTTTTTCATGATCATGTAAGTGAGATGGTGTAATAGGTTTACTTTGCAGCCTTTTACTAAGTTATTACTTCAGTTTGTTATTGCTTTAGCTTTTCAGGAAGAGAAAGGTAAAATGTGAATGATAACACTTTTTTAAATAACTAGAAAAGGTGTTGCCCATTTACCATTGGCAGTTTTGTAAATTAAAAAAAAAAAAAAAGAGTAAGGAGAGAATAGTTACTCCTGGCTTTATAGTATATATAATTCCAGTCTCTTTTTCTGCATAGATACACTTTTCAGCAAAAGTGTGCTTATAATAAACAAGATTTTGTAATTTCATTTCTCTTAATATTTCATGAGCTTTTTGCCATATTACTAAATATTCTTCTATGACTCTGGCTGCATACACAATATTCCCTTGTGAACATACACCATACTAGTAAGGTTGTCTATTGCTGGAAAGGAGCTTTCAGAATTTTTGTTGTCATAAGTGAAGCAGATGGATAAAGCGTGATTCTTAGAGGTTAAGTTACTTGACAAAACTCATTTGATCTGGTTGTTGGCTGGGCTCTGGGTGGGAGAGGGCCGTATGTTGCAGGTGTATCTGATATCCATTCAGAGGTCTGTGGTTAGTTAGTGGGGGTGTGGTTCAGGGTCAAGAAAGAATCAAGGAGTTTCACCAGATTGCTTGAGCCTTGTAGGTGAAAGAGATGGGACAGTGTTTGGAGGCCTAGGTGCAAGGTGCTGCTGGTGTGAATAATGGGGGTCAAATTAGAAGAGGGGAACCTTCCATTCAGATTTCCTCCATAACAATAGCTCAGTCAGCAAAGTGCTTGCTTTGTAAGAATGAGGAGCTGAGTTTGATCTGCATACCTCACATTTTAAATGTACCCTGGCTTGTCATAATGTATGCTGGAGAGGTAGAGACAGATGAATCCTAAGAGTTCTCTGACCAGCCAGCCTAGTTCACTTGCCAACTTCCAGACTAGTGAGGGACATCTCAAACATAAGGGTTACTAGTGCCTGAGGAGGGACACTCAAGGTTGTCCTCTGGCTTGTACTACAACCACAGATGCATGTACGTACCCACATACAGAAACATAACAAGTACACACACAGAGAGAGAGAGAGAGAGAGAGAGAGAGAGAGAGAGAGAGAGAGAGAGAGAGAGAGAGAGAGAGAGAGAGAGAGAGTTGTTGCTCAGTGGTAGGATATTTATCTAGCTGGGAGCTTGACCCTGAATATCACGAAACAAAACAAACAACAGCATTCCTCTCAACCCCCCAAAAAAGAACATTAGCATGGAAAACACATAGAGTCTGCTGAAACTCCTTCTGTTTATTGTGAACTCATTAGTTGTGGAAGTGGGCTGTCTGCATGATTTTCCTGTGTGTGATATAATTTTAATAATGAAGATTGGGATCAAGCTGAAGCTGCTCATTTTGAACTGTGCAAGCGTGTTTGGCAGATTTACTCAGAACACTAACATACAAAGAGGAAGATGCAGACATAGGTGTGGCTGCCAAGTCTCCTGAGAATGGCTGTTCTGGAAGGAGTGGGATCCAGCTGGGGCAAGTGGCTGTCTGAGGGCTTCTCACAGAGGATGCATGGGGGAAGGAGAGACCCTGGCAGTATGCTTGATTACACAGGACATTGCTCTGAGCTCAGTGGCACATCTATTAGACCCAATGTGTCATGTTTTCTTTGTTATCACTTACACTGAAACCCAGAGCAGCCCTCCGTGTTTCAGCTAGTGATGCAAAGAGAATTATTCTCAGATTGCATCTGCCAAGTGTTAGTTTAGTACAAAGGTCACAAGCATATCAGCCAGCCACCAAAGAGAACCACTTTCCTTTTGGAGCCCTGGGAGCAAAGAGTTATTTTGCTTCTGATGAGTTTTTATTTTAACTTGACATTGGGTAAAATGTGTTTTAATTCTCCAAAGAGTGTGGGTCGGGTATGGATCAAATACACAGTGACTGCAATTCTTCTAAAAGAAATAATTGAAAAGCCGTTCCTCCTGGGAGCAAGAGGAGCTCAT